TACAGGCGCCCACCACCACGCCCAGCTAATTTTTTTTTTTTTTGGTAGAGACGGGGTTTCACCATGTTAGCCAGGACGGTCTCGATCTCCTGACCTCATGATCCGCCCATCTCAGCCTCCCGAAGTGCTGGGATTACAGATGTGAGCCACTATGCCCGTCCTTTGTGCTGTTTTTAATGATGACGTTATCAATTTATATCTCACCAACAGCATATAGCACTTACCTTGTATGTATGTCTTCTTTGGGGGAAAAAATCTAACCTTTTGCCTATTTTTGAATGGCTTATCATCAGCATTATTGTTTTGCTTTGAATTGTAAAAGTTTCTTATACATTTTGGATATGGATATTAACTTTTTTTTAATGACGGAGTTTTGCTCTTGTTTCCTAGGCTGGAGTGCAGTGGTGCGATCTCAGCTCACTGCAACCTCCGCCTCCTGGGATCAAGTGATTTTTCTGCCTCAGCCTCCCAGATAGCTGAGATTACAGGCATGCCCCATAATGCCTGGCTAATTTTGTATTTTTAATAGAGATGGGGTTTCTTCATGTTGGTCAGGCTGGTCTCAAACTCCTGACCTCAGGTGATCTGCCTGCCTTGGCCTCCCAAATTTTTTATCAGATATATCGCATGCAAATATTTATATCCTGTAGGGTTTTTAGAAATTTTGTTTTCTTTTTCTTTACTGTGCAGAAGCAGTTTACTTTGATACAGTCCCACTTGTGTTTTCTTTTGTTGCTGTGCTTTTGACGGCATATCAAAAAAGTTATTGCCAAGGCCAGTATCAACAGGGCTTTTCCATATATATTCTTCAGGAGTTCTAAGGTTTTTTATCTTACATTTAAATGTTTCATTTTGAGTTAATTTTGGGGTATGGTGTAAGAAAATGATCTACTTTTATTCTTTTGCTTGTGGATATCCAGTTTTTCTGGCACCATGTATTGACAAGACTATAATTTCTGCATCGTATATTCTTGGTTCCCTTGCCAAAATTAGTTGACCTTGTATGCATGGATTTGTTTCTGGGCTGTCTATTCTGTTCCCTTGGTTTTTATATCTGTATTTATGCACATACCATACTCTTTTGCTTACTATAAGCTTTAAATAAAGTTTAAAATTAGAAGGTATGATGACCCTAGCTTTGTTCTTTCTCAAGATGGCTCAGGTTATTTACAGTTGTTTAAGGTTACACTTAAATTTTACAATTGTGTTTACTATTACTGTGAAAAAGGCCACTAAAATTTGGTAGGGATCCATTTGAATCTACAAATCACTTTCGATAATATACTTTGACAGTATCTGTTATCCTAATGGAATACGTTTTTATTTATTTGTGTCTGCTTCAGTTTTGTCATTATTGTATTTAGTGTCTAAATTTATTGTTATAAACTAGATTTTATATCTTGTATTTGGTGTATAAATTTTTTCATTGGTTAAATTTATTTTGAATTAATTTCTTTTTATAGTATTGCAAATTGAATTTTTTCTTTTTTTGGAAATTTTGTTCCTTTATGGACATGAAACAAATATTTGTATGTTGGGCCAGGTATATTGTTCATTTTTGTAATTCCAGCACTTACAGAGGCCAAGGCATGTGGATCACTTGAGCACTGGAGTTTGAGATGAGCCTGGGCCTTGTAGTAAGACCCTGCCTCATAAACACAAACCAAAAAACTCCACAAATATTTGTATGTTGATTATGTATCCTTGTACCTTCATGAATGCCTTTATTCAGTTTTTGTTATTCTAGTCTAGGA